CAATCTTCGTGTGAGCCCTGTTTCCCGTATAACTCTATACTTTCCGCGGCTCATATTGAAATAAAGATACGCTCTTACATCAAAGAGGCGATATTTTGACCTGTGTTTGGACTGTCTCCGAAACTATTCTACAGGCGACGGACGTTTGTTTGAATTTTACGCGCAAACATGCCGCAGAGCGATTTGCATAATTTATGATCGGGTCACGAATGAGTTTTGGAGTGATAGTGTGTAGAGACAAGAAAGGATGAGGTTGGGAGGGTACTTGGTTGCCGGACGAATCCGATCGGAGGTGAGCTTATGAAGTTTATGAAGTTTATGAAGTTCATTTTTGGGAAATTTTGGGGTACAAATTTTGGGTTATACGTGGTAGATACAATGTTTGAATGCCGCTGATTGTTCTGCGTCCGTTGTACAAAAATGAACCGTCTATACACTAAAGCGTAGTAATGAGGAAAAATTAAATAATGTAAATTTTATGGAGTGTTTTTGGGGTTACACCCGTAGACCTGGACTAATTCTCATGAAATCAGATTTTTTTATTCAGTTATGGAAAGGAACTTAAAGAACTCTTTACTGTAATTGAACTAGAATTTGCAACTAGGAAATACTTTTTTTGACTCATTTTAGGAACAACATAATGTGTTATCAGTTTCCCTAGGGAGAAAGTTGCTTTTACGGACGAGCCAAAAACAGTCGCTTTTTTAAAAAAATGTATTCCAATGTATTCTAGGTTATCCATTTATCTCGATTCTTCGCTGAATAATCTAAAACGAATTTTCACGATCAAACGCGAACAAGTATCTCTGAAAACCGAGAGCATTATCGCAAAAAAAAAGAGAAAAAAGAAATCTTCAATTCATCTCTTCTCTGATAATTCGGGTTTGAGTATTGTCGATCAGCGAACCTTCTTACTTTTTTTTACCACCTACGATTCTGCGTCGTTCAAAACTCATTCATTAGGCAAACCCATATTAAAATCCCAAAATCGGATCATCATCCATCAGTGCCCAATGCGCATAATGGCGATTCGCGGTAAGCATCTGCAGGGTGATCAACAAGTTCCGCACCCCTCCTAAAACCGCCAAAAGTTCTTTCCCCTTCTCAGGGATATCCCCATAATTTTGTTTTAGGGGAGGGAAAAACGTCATTTCCTTTGACCTAGGAGTACTCAGAAAAGTTTGAGTCTATGTCTCATTCATTTGCTTAAAAATTAGAAGGGTAATGCTCGAAGCTGGCAGTGCGGGTCTTTTTCATCACCCTGTACGTGGGAAGTCGCCAAAAATAAGACCCGGATGATTCGCTGAAATTTCCGCTCCATCAGATGCTCATTTCGAGCGATCATCAAGGTGGGTCTCATGAGTCACTCCGATGAGTAAACGATGGAACAGTCAATGGAGACGCCACTCCTTTCGCTCCGACGAGCTGTTCCCGCGAGATTCGTCTGCGACCCGGTGTCAACGGGTCCACGGGCATCCGGTCTGCTGATGTACCGGTGTGGCCGGCGCCACGATCAGCACCGTTTTAAAATCGGAACTAAACAAACCTTCGTTCCGTTCTGAACATTTGAAGCTAAAAGTAATAGGCAGACTTGGAGATGGGTTTTGTGCTCGTTGTTCGGTACGTCCATAAACATTGGAAACAATGTATGAACGACGCGGCGGTATGAAAACTCCCATTTCTTCATCCCACCTAAATTTTTAGGAGAGCCAAAATTATGATAGAGGAAAAAAGTATGATAAGTAATTATCATATAATGGTAACATTTTCTTGGCTGATTTTAGCGCTAGCCAGAAGTATGGTTACACCAGCTAGAAGTAAGGTCGAATCAGCAGGAAATGTGGTATAGACACGGAAAAAACAAGACTAGTGTTGAGCACTACTGGCCGTTTAGTGGGGAGTAGTTGCGGGCTGGCGTCTAAGCGCTGTACAGCTCAACACCGGAAGGCAGTTCAGGTGGGCACTGAACATGAGTAGTGCTAATCAGATGCCGCGAGACGTAGTTGCGCTTACAGGTGTAAATTCACCCATTATACGTTGGAGTCACCATAGCCTAGTGGTAACGCGCTGGTCTTCCACCTGCACAATCCGAGTTCGTTCCCAGGCGGAGGCATTTCATATTTTACGCTCGCTCCAAAGTCACTTTAGGGCTTGACCCTACTTCTTCCTTAGTGACCCAGCCTCGAGCTGTTTAGTGCCCAGCACTACTCTGACTTGGTAGCTCCATTTGACCTAACCCTCGTTAGTGTCCAGGACTAACATGTAGGTCCCAACCCTAAGCTCGTTTTTTCCGTGGACTTAACCCACTATATGTACCTCTGGCTGGCGCCAAAATCAGCTGGGAATATCGTTGATATTAACATACTTTTCTTTGTTTGCATGTTGTGATGAGGAAATATTTTTCATATCCTTCATTAAATCGCTTAAAGGTTTAAAGGGATTCGAGCAAAAATCCGATTGAATCAGAGTATTGTTTCTTGTCAATGTTTTCAAGAGTCTGGACTCTAGATCCAATGTATTTTTTTTTCTAGTGACCGGCCGTTTGCGAACCACTGGGACTGCAGTTTAATCGATGATGATTGGAGCATGTTGCAAATGTAGATGTTATTCTTGGGATGATTGTTGCGGCCGCTGGGTCCCGATCACTCTTGACCCACAATGGGAAGCATCACGCTATCGAGCACGCAATCCCGTCGGCGGGGCGGCGGCGCTCCACGGCGGCCACGTCTGTGTCCGCGGGAAGTTGACCGTTGACGTCAAAACAATCGTCGGCGATGAATGGGTGATGCAGCGGAATCCGCCGGTCTCCGAGCTACCTCGAGTGCATCAACGTCAACCACGAATTGCGCAGTCGGCCGCCAGATCGTGCAACCGTCGATGGAAATTCGATTCGCGACATGCACTTTTTTCCGTCTTGACGCGAGACTCTACTTTATGTTTGAGTCCCTTTATACTGAGAGTCAAGACAACACCCCCTCATGGAGTCACAAACGGGAATAAAGATTAGAGAAATTGAACGTTTTTTGTAATCTTTGATCGGCCCATTCTTAAATTCCTTTCTCCGTTCCTTCTCTCATTTCGTTTGCTCCTTGCCGAACCGGTAATTCCTTGGCCCATTCCAGATTATAATCTTCGCAATCGGTGAAAATGTAATCTTTATTCCCGTTTGTAACACTGTGAAGGCCTAAAATACGGGAACCAATCAAAAATGGATTTACATTGTCTTGACTCTCAGTATAAAGGGACTCTACTCCATGTCTGCGATAAATATAAAATTGGACAGAAAAGGCGCGGACGAGGCCAAAAAAAACACAATAATTTACAAAACACAGGACGTTTCGACTGGTTCATCTGTAAAAACACTTATGTGCATAGGCAAACTAAAGGTTGTTTCTAAACTGAGCCAAAGACGGTAATTCCTAATGGGGCAGTTGCGCTGGTCTTAGAATCGTGTTTTGATGCTTTATTCATGCATATCAACTAAAAATAGTAAGATCCGTACAGACAGCAACTTTCTACGCAGAATGTTATTCGAGGTTTCGCGCCTTGAGAAACTCAATATATGACGTTATCCACCGCGATGGATAACGTGCTACCATGCTATGCATTACCACGGTGGGTGACGTCAAAAACCCGAATTTTCAAAGGATGATATCTCCGTTAATATTTAGCATAAAAAATTGCCGTTTGGACAGATCTATTTATATTTACCTACTCCACAAGAATCAAACATCAAAATACGATTCTGTAACCAGCGCAACTGACTCATTACAAAATTTAGTTCAAATATTAGTTCCAATATTCATAGATTCCCAGAACGGTTGGATTTTACGATACATTTAATACATGTTTAATCAGTATTTTTCGATTGAACGCGACAACTATGCACAACTTTCGCTCACTTTAAACCATTATTGTCGGACTGACGACTTGGGAGGCGTGAGAGGGGCGGGTCCGGTCGGTTTCGTGAATAAAAAATAGCTGCATTTGATTGCGTTCAAAGTCATCGATTAAAAAACAACAATCAGAGAGGAACAGACGCCGCATGCAACGTTTCATAATGAAAATATCAATCTGCTCTCGACCGCATAATTTTTGCCTGATCGAATTCTGATTCTCAATATACTGAGATATATATCATATATATCTGAAGAGAGATATATTAGTGGCGGTCAGGCTTACGTAATATTTACGGAAATTTTAAAGAACTTTCGGAGTTTGCATGTTAACTTTTATCCCGTCGAACTTCTCAGGTTAAGATCATAATTCGGTTCAAAATTAGCCTCATTTACCCAATTAACTAATATTCGGCATTAATTTTGTTCCCCCTTTGGTAAATACTCGTGAACCTGAGGATTCTTTCCGCTTGCATAACTTGCCCCTTTTGTAACACGTCAGGAAAAAAAAACGAATGGCGGTAGTAAAACGCAACTTTCAGGTAAGTTACATACCGGAAATGTGTTTCGAAATGAGTCGAATTGGCCTGGGAGGAGGGGGAGGGGGCAGGAGAGGCCGCCCTTTACTTTTGGGCAAAATGGCCTCGCATGAGCCCATTTTGACGGAGTTTTGGCCGGTCTTTGCACACTTTTTAAAAAAATCTCTTAGATAGCCTGTCAAGACCTTTTCGGAACCTACCCCCTTTAGTTGGGAGAGGCTCCCGAATCTTTCCACCCTCTGGAAAATTTGAAGTTAGTTCATCCCTCGCTACCGAAGGGTTTTTACGCATCTCTGGTCTCAGATACATATGTATGTACAAGTTGCTATGACGGCGCGCTAGGGCGCTCTGCGACACTTACCCGCCACGGGAATCTGTCATGGTAGAAATCCTCCAAAAATACTAGAAACAAGGCTAAAATACATAAAAATATACGGATCGTCCGGAAGCTGGCAATCTCTTTATCTCTTGACGGATTCCTTCTACCAACCGTTTGGCTGGACGTCCTCTCCGACACCCTGGTCTTAGATAAAATGCGAAAAATCAAAGGGTAAAAGTTACTCACTTGAGATCGCAGCCGCAGAAGCTGAGGGTGAAGGGACTGAGGTTGAAGACGTTGAATTTCGTGGAGAGACCCGGGATGGTGAGCTGGCAGCCGTCGTGCTCCCGGCAGCAGCGATCCGTCGAGGTGAATCCACCGAGCTGCCGTTGGGAATCGGCCACGTTCCTATGTCCGCACCATTTAGTTCCCGGCATTATGCCCAGCCTTTGCAGGCCTCTCTTCATCCTGAAAAATACAGTTTTAACCCTCATTTCAGTCGCAATGCATAAAGAATATATATAGAAAAAAAAGGTGGTCACATTTTGAGGATTTGTTTAACCCGTGACGTAGATAGGTACCAAAAGCCGGCGATATTCCGGCAAAATCTGAAATTCGAAATCTGAAAACCCGACCATGACGTCCGTTTCTACGCTAAGTTCAACTCATAATATAATTTCTAACAATTCTCGGTGGCGGTAGCCACCCCGGCCCGGCCCAATCCTAAAAAACTTCCCTTAAAAATTTGACCATACATTTGAATAAAATTACTTTTTTCCATAAACTACACAATTTTCAAGACAATCGATGACAAAAAGCGTATACCTGCGACATCGACGAAATCAAAAATGCCCGAAATGCGACCACCTTATTTGGATAAAAAAGGATTTGGATTTTAGCAAAAAGGAACCATTGTGGTTACAGTGATTTTAAAATCGTGCAACTTCTTTTTTTTTTCTTTAAAAAATACTAAACATATATTATGTACAGTATTAAAATTTACACAATTATTCCCCATTAAAATGAACAATTTTTTGATGGGATGCAAAAACTATTGGCTGTTTTAAGAGATTTTCTAGATAATTATGAAGAAACAACATTTTAACAACACCTTAATTGCGCTGGTTCCTTTTGGCTAAATGCGATCCATTTAATAATCACATTTAGGCCTTGACGCAGAAAAATTTAAGCGCCTTCAATTGTTTTGATGCAACACGGATATCCATCAAGTATTTATAGTTGCATCTAAACCTTGTCATGTAGAAAGCCAGCACATGTGCAATCCTTTTGGTCGAGTGACATATACCTCTCTTTTGTAAACGGTAAGTTGTATGAAGCCATTGCACGAAACAAGGATTCACAAGGTCAAATTTTGTGAGGAGTGCGATGGTGCCACTGGCTTTCTCTGATACAAAATTCTCAGCTGAAAGAAAGTTTTAGAATAATTGCACCTCAGCTTCGGCATGGCAAGATTCAGTGCGCCTTCAATTGTCAAGATGCAGCAAAAATCAACTATATTGATTACTTCTTAACTACTTGAATGTACTTGCCAATTTCCATACGTGTAACTGTTTCTGATACCCCAGCATTCCTCAGTAAAGTCCAAAGATATGTTACTCATTTTCGAGGGAAAGCTCTTGGTAAAAATTGGCTGTACAGTAGTATTTTTGGGCAAAGCTTCGCTATAGAAAATCCCATAACCGGATAACCGGATCGCGATGTACGTACCAAAATACTATTGCACAGTCAATTTTTGCCAGAGATTCGATAATCTGTGGAAACGTTTATTTAAAACATTTGAAAAAATATTTTTTTTTTTGTAAAATAGTTTTTTTCAAATACCTTTCGAATTCGGATTCTGGTGGTGGCTCCGTGGTCGTCGTTGTCGGTGGCAGCTTTTCGAATCGTTGCTTTGACATTTTTAAAATTTTCTGATGGCTTTTTTTGCACTGATGCCTCAGTTTTTTATAGCTCAGCCAGTTGTTAATATCGCTAGGTAACTTTTGATAGCTTTTTAAGTAAGTTATATTTGTCTTTGATTCTAGAATGTCTTGAAAAGTGCTGAGAAATTTTTTGATGACTTTCTTCTGTTTTAAGTATTCGCAGTCTTGCAGTAGTCCGTCCGGGCCGTAGACCATCTGGACGAAGCGTGAACCGTCACTGAGCTGTCGCAACATGGTTGAAACGCTGTAACAAAAAACAAACGGACACCGAATTAATACCAAATATTTAAGAGACCACTTGAATATGGATGTAAAATATTCATTGTAGAAATATTGGTCAATTGGAAAATATTATTTTGGAAATATTGGAATATTGGTCAAAATCTACCATGCATATTTTCTGAGAGCCTCCGATCTCATTTTTATCATTCTATAGAATAATTTTAGGAATTGTTTTTATTTTTTTATTTTCTGTGATCAAATTAAATCTGAATGTACTTCAACTAGAAAATTGCCTGTATTTTGAAGAAGTTGATAATGAGACTTCGACATGGCTCACCCTAGGGTGATTACAAAAAGAATATTTGGACTGCATTTTGCAATTTGGGACTATAAATTCTGGCTCTTCTGGGAAAACACTATTATGTGCACAGGCAAATTAATAGCACATACGTTGTTTTTAAACCGGACTAGAATTTATAATTTCAAATTGCAAAATGCAGTCCATTTGGTCTCGGACTTTGGCTCCTGGTAATAGGCGACAAGAATAGATCTTCGAAAAAGCGTCGTTTTTTGCATCTTTGGGGGTTGCGCACCCCCTAAAATTATCCGATTGGGCCTAAATATTGCAAAGGTGTACTGTCGTATTCTTCGTTTCAGTTTTTATGCTGGAAACTAATTTGCTAATCGCACAAACTATTGCAAAATCGCCCGAAAGCGAATATGCAAAACATTACGATTTTTGCCTATGAAAGTGAGGTGCGGTCTCTCAAAAAATTGACGGGTAAGCCCGAGGTTTTTCTATTGGAACTGTTACAATGGAGATAGTACCTTTCACTTTAAAGAAGTTTATTTATGTACTTTACATACCGGTTAGCGGGAAAAGCAACTGGTGCAAATAGCTAAAGCAGTAGTAGTAGGCTTTATAAAGGTTATACGAGAACAAGTACAGTAAAAATAAATTATTCCTCTTATCCAAGGGACGGACGACGGTGCGGTTTCCACGAAGATTTCAAATCATCACTTCAGGTGATAAAAGTAATTCTTCGACGCCAATGAGAATAATTGGTTAAGTTAATAAAGTCATTAAAAAATTTGCATTTTTTGCGGCACGAACGAGAGAGAGAGAGAGAGGCGCAACACTTCCGGTATTCATATGAGCTTTGTGTTGACGGGTTGAAATTCTCCCCCTGGCTATTTTAACGGTCATAAATGCACCAGTTAACGCCCAACAAACACGTTTGCTGCGATAAGTTTAGCACACTTATAATCTGTCGTAGAGAGGCTGATTATGAACTTAAACATGCTCCCTGAATCGAACTTTTCTAGCCAGGGGTGCAGAAAGTTCTTCGCCTTCACGTTTTTGGAGGCAGCCTTCGATTTTTTTGAGGTTGCCTTCACATGCCTTTCAACATAAACCTTGCGCGCTTCACTATTCCTTTCGCATAAATAGAGTACGCTCAATTTGTATTTTCTTCGCATAAGAGAGCGCGTTAAACAGTCCCCTTCGCAAAAAGCTATGCGCGCATAGATATTTTTTTCGAGGTGCCTTCACGATTTTTTACCCCTTTTCAGGAGCCCTCACATTATTTGCTCCGAAATCGGCAAATCGAGCACTTTTCGCACCCCTGTCAAGCATTTAAAGGGTTTACACTGCGCGAGAGATTTGAATTAGTGAGAACGAAAACCCCCCAACTTGAAAAAATGAAAATAATGAAGAGATAGACACGAAACTGCACAGTAGGTGAAGAAGTTATAGTCCAAGAAAAAGACTTTTGGTGCCGAAAGACAAGTTTTAAGAACACGTTAAAGGTCCAAGTTGGAACAAATGCACTAACTTCATACCCTTTATAAAAATTGACTGGCTTCGATGAAAATTGCGTATTTTCGAGTTTTCGAGTCGGTGTGTTATCGAACTCACTGATTCATTTGTTGGAAAAGAGATTCGTAATTTTTGCCAAAGTTTCAAAAGTCGTCCAAAATTCGTTAGAACCTTTCGGAAGATAACCGATTTTGTCAACGATTTTCAAAGTGTACTAGGCAAATGAGTTGTTTACAGACGGAGCTCTACACAGTAGAGAAAAACAAGGAAGCAAATCAGATTAATCGCGACAGTAGGCTGAAGTTGTATGTAATTATTTCATTTTCCGCCTTGAAAATAGGAGGGGAGAAGAAAAGAAAAAAGTTCACCCTCTTTTTAAGGTACTTGTCACCATCTAGCTTTCCCCCAATGCAGCCACAGGGACAGTCCGGATATGCCATTGGCGTAAATCGCTGGGAAACAGCACCAATTCATCCCCCCATACATTAAGGTAAAAAAAATGGATTTAAGCTAAAAATTTGGCAATGCTATAACGGCGGTGTTGAAAATTTTCCAGCGAATTTAACCGTAGTTTATGCACTATTGGACGCAATGAACTAAAAGGTTGGCAACTTTGGGTCTTTAGGCACTTTATCAAATAACCTTTCCTTTTAAATGTTCTGAATTAACCGTAATTATACTCTCACGACGTAGCTACTTCCTCTCTTTTCTCGTACGTTGGGTCCATCGATTGCACTTGTTCTGAAATTCAAGGTCATCGTCGCCGTATTTCTAGCAAATATTGGCCTATTTTGCATTGATACTTGCGTAAAAATGTTGAAAATTTCTTTAAAAAAATTGGCAACACTGTCGAGGCCCTTAGGAACACCACACACCTTTGAATACGCGGGAGCACCATTTATGATTGAAACGAGGGGAGACAGGGATGCCAACGGACACAAAAGGCCCTTATGTGTACGACATATTTACAGAATGTCACTTGCGCCCTTTCATTTAAGTTGGAGTATCTGAGCGCGGTGAGATTCAAATTGGTAAGCACTTCAAAGGGGTTTACAAGAACAGAAAATTCTCCATGTTGCTCAGAGGAATGAGAGCTTTCGCATTTAAAATTTCAATAAAATTACGATAGTTTATTAATACTCTTTAGAGGAAATGTAATGAGCGTGATTCTTTGGAGGAAGAGAGTTATGCTCGTCAGAGGTAAATGTAAAGTAAGGATTCTTGCAAAAACATCACCTGATTCCTGGCTCGCAAAAGCTCTTCTTCTTTTTGAAATCTGTTTTAATAATTGCTTTTTAAAGTTTTAAACAAATTATTGTAACAAACGTTGCTATCATTTCGTAAATAAAATTCGATTTTAAAAAATCAAAAATATGAGTTCAATGTGTCAGAAAGATGGAAAATTTAATGACATTACAATGCAATGAAGAACCGCAACTTATTTCAATTATATCGCAAACAATTTCAAAAAACTTGTGCCTTCGATCAATAGATAGGCAAAGTAAGCAATACTTCGATGCAGCAACAATAATTGTGTCATTTATTTGCAATCTTTGCTGTTTGAAGAGGATAGTAATGAGTCAAATCCCTTGTATTTCAAGTTATCTTGTTGAAAATGATACAATGGCACTTTCACTGCTGTTCAAATCCCGTCTAGGGCCGTATTTTTAGAATTTATAAAGCAGGGTCCTTTAGAGTATTAATGATGATCACAAAGGTTTGATCGAACTTGGCACGTCTTCCAGTTTATTTTGATCCAAATGTACAAGTTCCCGATGAGGTAAACTGTAAATTTTCCGCTCTATACTTTGCCTTTAAGATCAAGAATTTTTCCTCGTCGCATAATTTCCTTGGGCAATTCAACCAATTGAGGTATTATTGATCGATATCGATGAGACTAGAGTACCTGTATAGCGAGAGTATGGACAGATGTGAAACTCCGAAAATCCATCAGGCCTTCACCGATGCTTCTGCGAATAAAGTTAGGGCCCAGAAATGCAGCCAACCTATGAATTTCAATTATCCAGAACGATTTACTAATACTATTGTTACGGACCGTCGTTTATTAAGCACGTGTTTGACTCGGTTTTTGCATAAATTTACTCAATTTTGCGGAAGAACGCTCATTTCTGTACATTCTTTGCCATCATGGTTAGAATTGGAATCTGCAGACTGGCAGTGAAATTTTGTGCGTTAGAAGTTGGTTAGAAGGGTGGCTGCACTTTTGGGCCCTAAGCCCTCCATGAAGCGATCTGTCCATACTCTCGCTATACAGGTACTCTAGATGAGACTCCATCGAAACAATATTGCCTTTTAAAAGATCCCAAGTTTATATCGATTCTTAGAACGCATGATTTTCCATTGTATTGAATTCCCTCTTTTAACGAGGATTTAATTATCGCGACTGCATTTTTTAACGTGAGCATGTTGACGTTCTCTTTCAAAATAGGCATCGGAGAAGGTTAATGAAGCAATTCAAAATCGAAAAGAAAAGTCGATCGAAGGGAGGTGGACTCCATCTGGCGGAACGACCGAAACCGCCCGCTGCTGTGCTGAGAAGAAACACCGTATGGGTATCGCGACGTGGACACATTTTCTCAGATAATGCATAAATTACCAAGAAATTTTGCGACTTTTTTCCCGGAGGTTTTTACAAAAATTGATTCACGACTTTTCCACAATGTAGGGAACTTTCGAGGGAAAATACTGAGAACTTTTCTCAAAAGTGGGCAGACCACGAGGGAAATTGTTGAGGATCGGTGTTTTTTTTAAAAAAAAATCAAGAGAAATCCCCACCCGAAAATTCTGTTTGTTTTTATTTGGTTGCTTATTTGTCTCTTCGTTCGTGCGTTTACTTGTCAACCAATCTCAATTTCGTCGGCGACAACGCATTTAAACATTTGATTAAAAAAAAAATCATTTAAATTTAAATTAAAATGATTTGAGTAAAAAAAATTATTATTCGGGTAAAATCAACTTTTATTCGAAAATGAAGGAAAATGAGTTGGGGAAACTTTCTACTAAACGAAAACATTTTTTTTATGATTAAAGAGTTTTTTTAACTATTTCGTCCAATGCCCAGTGCGGTGTATTTATCAGGGGAAATTTGAGATCATTCGACTGATTATATTATGTTTCTTTCTTGCACGGCGGACCAACGCTGTTATATTTGTACTACGGTAAAACGTCGTATAAATATTCAA